TCCCTTTTCCTCTGGGATTTTCCAGAGGATTGGAGCTACAAGTGGGAATTTTTCAGCGTTCCCCTTGTCCCATCCCATTTCTCCTTTTGGGGTTTGTTTCGGGTTTATCCTGCTGGGTTTTCCAGGTGACTGGGGTTCAGAGAGGGATTTCTTGGTATTCCCTGATTTCCAACCGTTTTCCCATGAGTTTTTCCATAGGACTGGAGCTCAGAGTGAGATTTCTCAGGATTCCCCCTTTCCCATCCCTTTTTCCCCTTTGGGATCACTTTGGGGTTGATCCCGTGGGGTTTTCCAGAGGCCTGGAGCTCGGAGCGGGATTTTTTGGGGTCCCTCCTTTTCCCATTCCTTTTCCCGTGGGGTTTTCCAGAGGACTGGAGCTCGGAGCGGGATCTCTCGGCGTTCCGCCTGGGGGACGTGCTGAACATCCAGGCCGAGGTGGGCGCCCACAGCCACGTCCCACTGCGCCTCTTCGTCGACTCCTGCGTGGCCACCCTGGGCCCCGGCGCGGGCAGCGAGCCCCACTACGCCATCATCGACTTCAACGGGTGCGCCGGGGACATCGGGGACATCCGGGGACATTTGGGGACATCTGGGGACGTCTGGGGACGTTTGGGGGCATTTTGGGGTCTGGGGGACACCCAGAGCGGTGGTGAGCTCTCCCTGTGCCACTATGCCACCATTGACTTCAACATGTGTGCCGGGGACTGCTGGGGACTCTGGAGATATTTGGGGACATCTGGGGATGTTTGGGGACACTTTGGAGTCTGGGGGACACCCAGGGCGTGGTGAGCCCTCCTTGTCCCACTACGCCATCATCGACTTCAACAGGTGTGCTGGGGACATCTGGGGACATCTGGGGACCTTTGGGGATACTTGGGGATGTTTGGGGATGTTTTGGGGACATTTGGGGATGCTTTGGGGTCAGGGGGAGGGTGGCAGCTCATCCTGCCCCACGGCGCCATCATCAACTTCAACGGGTGCGCAGGGGACACCTGGGGACATCTGGGGATATCTCAGGGACGTTTGGGGACATTGGGGGACATTTGGGGATGTTTGGGGACATTTCGGGACAATTTGGGGTGAGGGACATGGTCAGGGGGTGGTGACACCTCATCCCACCACACTGCTCCATCATCGACTACAGTGGGTGAGTTTGGGGACCTTTGGGGACATTTGGGGACAGTTTGGGGGCACTTTGTGGTCTGGGACATGGTGGTGATACCTCATTACCCATCATTGGCTTCAATGGGTGAGTACAGGGACATTTGGGGACATCTGGGGACAATCTGGGGTGAGGGACATGGTCAGTGGTGGTGACACCTCAACCCATCCCACTGCTCCATCATTGACTTCCGTGGGTGGGTTTGGGGACACTTTGGGGACATTTGGGGACGTTTTGGCATCAGGGTAGGGTAGCAGCTCATCCTGCCCCACTACGCCACCATTGACTTCAATGGGTGGGTCTGGGGACATTTGGGGATGTTTGGGGACAATCTGGGGACATTTGGGGACATTTTGAGGTCTGGGGTCATGGTCTGGGACATGGTGGTGATACCTCATTACCCATCATTGGCTTCAATGGGTGAGTACAGGGACATTTGGGGACATCTGGGGACAATCTGGGGTGAGGGACATGGTCAGTGGTGGTGACACCTCAACCCATCCCACTGCTCCATCATTGACTTCCGTGGGTGGGTTTGGGGACACTTTGGGGACATTTGGGGACGTTTTGGCATCAGGGTAGGGTAGCAGCTCATCCTGCCCCACTACGCCACCATTGACTTCAATGGGTGGGTCTGGGGACATTTGGGGATGTTTGGGGACAATCTGGGGACATCTGGGGACATTTTGAGGTCTGGGGTCACCCAGGAGGTTCTGAGCCCTTGTCACTTCCTCAGCCAATCTGGGGACACTCAGGGACACTGCGATGCCAGCCAGGACTGTGACCCTTCTGTCCCTGGGGCTGTGACCCCACTGTCCCCGTGGCTGTGACCCTGCTGCCCTTGTGTCTGTGACCCCTCTGTCCCCAAGGCTGTGTCCCTGCTGTCCCCATGGCTGTGACCCCACTGTCCCCAGGGTCTGACCCTGCTGTCCCTGGGCTGTGACCCCGCTGTCCCCATGGCTGTGACCCCACTGTCCCCAGGGCTGTGTCCCACTGTCCCCCTCACTGTGATCCCTCTGTCCCCGTGGCTGTGACCCTGCTGTCCCCAGGCCTGTGACTCTTTCCCTGTGGTGTGACTCTACTCTTCCCGTGGCTGTGACCCTGCTGTCCCTGGGGTTGTGACCCTGCTGTCCCCAGGGTGTAACCCTGCTGTCCCCATGGCTGTGACCGTGTCCCCGGGGTGTAACCCCGCTGTCCCCACAGCTGCCTGGTGGACGGGCGCTCCGATGCCACCAGCTCGGCCTTTGTCACCCCCCGGCCGCGGCAGGACATGCTGCGCTTCCAGATCGACGCCTTCCGCTTTGCCGGTGACTCCCGCAGCCTGGTAAGGCCCCGGGGACACCCCGGGGACACCCTGCTGTCCCCAGTGCCACCCCGGTGTCCCCGCGGTGTCCCCAGCAGTGTCCCCTGGCGCAGATCTACATCACATGTCACCTGAAGGTGACACCGGCCGAGCAGAGCCCGGACGCGCTGAACAAGGCCTGCTCCTTCAGCAAGGCGCGCAACACGTGAGTGTCACCTCCCTCGTGTCACCTCCCCCGTGTCACCTTCCCAGTGTCACCTCCCCGGTGCCATCTCTGTAGTGTCACCTCCCTGGTGTTACCTCCCTGGTGGCATCTCCGCGGTGGCACCTTCCTGGTGGCACCTGCCCATCCTGGTGGCACCGGCTGATGGTGTCACCTCCCCGCCGCAGCTGGGCGCCCGTGGAGGGGACAAGGGACATCTGCAGCTGCTGCGAGCGGGGCAACTGCGGCCAGCGCGGCCCGCGGCCAGCGGAGCCCTGGAATGGCCACCGCTACCGGAGACACGACGGGGACGGTGAGGGGACAGCAGGGGACACTGTGGGGACATGGAGACACTGGGGATACCAGGGACAGAGGGACATGGGGAACTTGGGGACAGGGTGACGTGGGGACAGGGGGACAGCATGGGGACATTATGGGGACATGGGGAGAGCATGACAGGGGGACAGGGAGGACATGGGGACATCCTGGGGACACAGGAACATAGTGGGACAGTGAGACTTTGGTGGTGGGGTGATCCCTCCTCACTGTCCCTCACTGTCCCTCACTGTCCCCATGTCCCCAGGTGCCACCTCTGAAGCTGACATTGTCATTGGTCCCGTGCTGCTCTCGAGTGCCCAGCGTGGCCAGCGCCCCGAGGGCCACCAGGGTGAGTCCCTGAGGTGACACTGGTGACACTGTGTGACACCGGGTGACACAGGGTGCACTGGGTGATACCGAGTGACTCTGGGTGACACCAGGTGACACCAGGTGACAGTGGGTGGCACCCGGTGACAATCCCCACTCCCCTCCGTGTCACTCGGTGTCCCTTCGCAGGCACGGTGACACCGCTGGCCGTGGGGACAGCGCTGGCCTGCGCGGTGGCCGGTGTGGCCGTGGCCGGAGCCGCGCTGGCCATCGGCCTCAGGCGCCGGAATTCCCCGTGAACCCTGGAATGACCGAGGGAAATCCCACAAACCCCGGAATGACCGAGGGAAATCCCATAAAATCCCACAAGGACCAATGGAAATCCCGATGAATCCCACAAGGACTGACGGAAATCCCAAACAATCCCACAAGGACCTGCGGTGTCCGAGGGTCACTCTGGGGGGGAATCCAAGGAATGGGGCGGAGAGGGCCACCAGTCCTGTCCCAGTGTCACCAATCCTGTCCAAGTGTTCCCATTCCCATCCCACTGTCCCCAGTCCCATCCCAATGTCCCCATTCTCGTTCCCAGTGTCCCCATTCCCAGTGTCCCATTACATCCCACTGTACCCATTCCCATCCCACTGTCCCCAGTCCTAATGTCCACATCCACGTTCCCAATTTCCCCATTCCTGTCCCAGTGTCCCCACTGCATTCCCAATGTCCCCATTTTCAAGGTCCCCATCCCCATCCCCATTCCCAATGTCCCCCATTCTCTCCCAGTATCCCCATTCCTGGTGTCCCCATCCCAATCCCACTGTCCCCACCTGTGTCCCCACTCCCAATGTCCCATTCCCTTTCCCAGTGTCCCCAGTCCTAATGTCCCCATCCCCATTCCCAATGTCCCCACTCCCATTCTCAATGTCCCCAGTCCCATCCCGGTGTCCCCATTCTCATCCCAATTCCCAATGTCCCCATTCCTGTCCCAGTGTCCTCATTCCCAATGTCCCCATTCCCATCCCCATGTCCCCAATCCTGTCCTGGTGTCCCCATTCTCATCCCGGTGTCCCCACTCCATTCCCAATGTCCCCATTCCCAATGTCCCCATGCCCATCCCCAGTGTCCCTATTCCCATCCCAGTGTCCCCAACCTTGGTGTCCCCAATCTCAACGCCTCCCCCTCCCAATCCCAGTGTCCCCATTCCAGTCACAGTGTCCCCATTCCCAATGTCCCCAGTCCCATCCCAGTGTTCCGATCCCAATGTCTCATTCCCATTCTCAATGTCCCCAATCCCAATCCCAGTGTCCCCATTCCCAATCCCAATGTCCCCATTGCAAATCCCAATGTCCCTATTCCCGTTCCAATGCCCCCATTCCATCCCACTGTACCCATTCCTGACCCCATTACCACCCCAAAAATTCCCAAATCCCAACCTCCGCTCTCTCCGGTGGGAAAACAGAAAAATTCCCTAAAAAAATCTATAGGATTTCCCTCCCCAAATTCCCAGACCTGTTTCTTCCCCACCTTGGGGACATTCCCAAAAATTCCCCAGGATTTGTAGGATCACGAGGATTTTATGGGGCATTTTGGGGTCCCTGCTTTGATTCCAGCCTTGGGTTCCCTTGGGAAATGGGGGAAAAACCGGGAATGCCGGGAAAATTCGGGATAAAAATGATTCCAAAGAGTCCTCGTGGCTTCCCCGCTTTTTATTGGGAAAAGGGGGAACTTTGGGAACGCAGCGGAGCCACCTCGGGAACTTCCCGGGAAAGGGGACGGGCGACACTCCTGGGCTTCGGCTGCCGTCAGGATCTGTGGGGAAAACGGGAAAATCCTGGGAAATTCCATGGGGAAGGGGGAAAAAAAGTAAAATCCCATAAAATTCCATGGAAAAGGGGGAAGAAAACGACCCCAAATGGGCAAATCCTGGAAAATTCCACAGGAAAGGAGGAAAAAAACGTAAAATCTCAGAACATTTCATGGAAAAGGAGCAAAATCCCAATTCCTACCACAAATCCCGTGAAATTCCATGGAAAAGGAGGAAAAAAATGACCCCAAATGGACAAATCCTGGCAAATTCCAGGGGAAAGGAGGAAAATCCCAATTCCTGCCCCAAATCCCAGAGAATCCCATGGGAAATGGGGAAAATCCTAATTCCCACCCCAAATCCCAGAAAACTCCATGGAAAAGGGGGAAAAAACTGACCCCAAATGGGAAAATCACATGGAAAAGGAACAAAATCCCAATTCCCACCCCAAATCCTGGAAAATTCCATGGAAAAGGAGGAAAAGAATGACCCCAAATGGGGAAATCCCATAAAATTCCATGGGAAAGGAGAAAAAGAAGGACCCCAGATGGACAAATCCTGGAAAAATCCATGGGAAAGGAGGAAATTCCCATGGAAAAGGAGGAAAATCCCAGTTCCCACCCCAAATCCCAGAAAATTCCATGGAAAAATAGGAAAAAAATGACCCCAAATGGGCAAATTCCATGGGAAAGGAACAAAATCCCAATTCCCACCCCAAATCCCAGAAAATTCCATGGAAAAATAGGAAAAAAATGACCCCAAATGGGCAAATTCCATGGGAAAGGAACAAAATCCCAATTCCCACCCCAAATCCCAGAAAATTCCATGAAAAATGGGGAAAATCCCAACCCCAAAGGGAGAAATCCCAGAAAATTCCATGGAAAATTTGGAAAACCCCAAATCCTGATTGTTTCCCTGACCTTTACCACCAAAAATGCCCCAGAAAAGCCGGAAAACAAAGAAAAAATGTGGGGGAAAAGGGGGAAAAAACAGGAAAAAGAGGAAAAAAGAGGGGAAATGTGGGAAGAAAGCAGGAAAAAAGGCAAAAAACACGGGAAAAAAGTGGGAAAAAAGCAGGGGGGAAAATGGAATAAAAGCAGGGAAAAGTGGGAAAAAGGGACAAAGTGGTTTTTTGGGATGGGGTTTTTCTGGGATCAGGATTTTTTGAATTGGTTTTGGGTTTTTTTTTGGAATGGAGATTTTTTGGGATGGGGTTTTTTAGGATGGGCTTTTTTGGGATCAGGATTTTTTGAATTTTTTTTTTTTTTTTGATGAGGGTCTTTTGGAAGTGGGGTTTTTCGGGATGGTTTATTTTTGGGATCAGGGTTTTTTTGGGATGGGGATTTTTGGGGATTGGAGGTTTTTTGGGATGGATTTTTTGGCATCAGGTTTTTTTGAATTGGTTTTTTTTTTAGGGTTGGGGTTTTTTTGGGATGGTTTATTTTTGGACCGGGATTTTTTAGTATCAGGGTTTTTTGGGATCAGGGATTTTTGGGATGGGGATTTTTTTGGGATGTGGACTTTTTAGGATGGGATTTTTTAGGATCGGGTTTTTTGGGCTCAGAGTTTTTTGAATTTTTTTTTTTTTTTTTTTTTTGGAATGGGGATTTTCTGGGATGGGGTTTTTTAGGATGGGTTTTTTGGCATCAGGGAATTTTTTGAATTGGTTTTTTTTTGGGGGGGATGGGGATTTTTTTGGGATGGGGATATTTTGGGATGGGGGTATTTTTTGCATTGGGGATATTTTGGGATGGTTTATTTTTGGGATGGGGATTTTTTGGGATGGGGATTTTTAGGATGGGAATTTTTTGAATTGGTTTTTTATTTTTTTGGATGGGGATATTTTGGGATGGTTTATTTGGGATGGTTTATTTGGGATGGTTCATTTGGGATGGTTTATTTGAGGTGGTTTATTTGGGATGGTTTATTTGGGGTGGTTTATTTGGGGTGGTTTATTTGGGGTGGTTTATTTGGGCGCAGCAGCTCCGTACTGGGCGATGCGGCAGTTGGAGGCGGACACGAAGCGCCCGGTGTAGTGGATGTGGCAGCGCACGACGTTGTTGGTGAAATCCGACTCCAGCACCAAATATTTGGGATTGACCTGGACCTGGGATGGGGGGGAGGAAAAAACGGGCTGAGAAATGGGGAAATCGGGCAAAAAAATGGGAGGAAAAATGGAAAACTTGGAAAAAAAAGGAGGAAAAAAAGGTTTAAAAATGGGGGGAAAGGGGAAAAATGGGGGGAAAATGGGGAAAAAGGATCAAAAAGGATCCCTCGGGGGTTGTAACAGCCCAGGGTGAGAGCTTGAGGGGAAAATGGGGTAAAAAATGGGGAAATTGGGCAAAACGGGAGAAAAAATTTGAAAAATTGAAAAAAGGGAGATTTAAAGTTTAAAAAATGGGGGAAAAGTAGAAAAAAATGGGGGAAAAGGGACCGAAAAGGGACCAAAAAGGGACCCTCGGGACCCTGTGACAGCCCAGGATGAGACTCTGTGGGGGATTTAGCTAAAATTGATTTATTTTTGTTAGGGAAAAATCCCAAATATCCACAGGGAAAGGGGAAAATCTGGGGAAAAATCCAGGATGAAAAGGGAAAGGGGAAATCAAGGGGGGAAAAACTGCAAAAATATATAAAAAATCCCAAAAATGAAAGGGGAGAATCAGGGAAAAAATGTCAAAAATTAACAGGGGGAAAAAGCGCGAAAGAGGAAAAAGAGAGGAAAAAAAATTCCTCAAAAATCAGGAGGAGAATGGGAAAATGATGGGAAAAAAAACTTGAAAATGAACAGGGAAAAGGGAAAATCAGGGGGAAAAATCCCAAAAATCACCAGGGAAAAGAGAAGGGAAAAAAATCCCAAAAAATCCCCCCAAAAATCCCAAAAAATCCCCCAAAAAATCCCAAAAAATCCCCAAAAAAATCCCAAAAAATCAAGAGGGAAAAGGGAAAATCTGGGGAAAAAATCCCCAAAAATAAACGTGGAAAAGGAAAAAAAGCAGGAAAATTGGGATTCCGACCCCAAAATGTCCCCAAGATGTCCCCAAAATGTTCCTGAATATCCCCAAATGTCCCCAAATGCCCCCAGATATCCCAAAAATGTCCCCAAAATGTCCTCAAATGTCCCCAGATGTCCCAAAATGTTCTCAAAATATCCCTGAATATCCCCAAAATGTCCCCAAACATCCCCAAATGTCCCGAAATGTCCCAAAGATGTCCCCAAAATGTCCCAAAATGTCCCCAAAATGTCCCCAAAATGTATCCCCCCAAAAATCCCAAAAAATCCCCCCAAAGAATCCCAAAAAATCCCAAAAAAATCTCAAAAAATCAAGAGGGAAAAGGGAAAATCTGGGGAAAAACCCCAAAAATAAACATGGAAAAGGAAAAAAAGCAGGAAAATTGGGATTCCGACACCAAAATGTCCCCAAGATGTCCCCAAAATGTCCCTGAATATCCCCAAATGTCCCCAAATGCCCCCAGATATCCCAAAAATGTCCCCAAAATGTCCTCAAATGTCCCCAGATGTCCCAAAATGTTCTCAAAATATCCCTGAATATCCCCAAAATGTCCCCAAACATCCCCAAATGTCCCGAAATGTCCCAAAGATGTCCCCAAAATGTCCCCAAATGTCCCCAAAATGTCCCCAAAATGTCCCTGAATATCCCCAAATGTCCCCAAACATTCCCAAAATCTCCCCAGATATTCCAAAAATATCCCAAAAATGTCCCCAGGTGTTCCCAAAATGTCGCCAAAACGTCCCCATGTATCCCAAAATCTCCCCCAAAGTCCCAAAATGTCCCCAGGTGTCCCCAAAATGTGCCCAAAATGTCTCCAAGCATCCCCAAATATGAACAAAGTGTCCTTAAATGTCCCCAGGTGTCCCCAAAATGTCCCCAAAATGTCTCCAAACATCCCCAAATATGCCCAAAATGTCCTCAAATGTCCCCAAAATGTCCCCAGGTGTCCCCGGTGTCCCACCTTGAGGATGTAGTTGCCGGGGGGGACGTCGGTGATGTCGATCCACTGGCAGTCGATGTCGGCGTTGTAGGTGTCGTAACAGCCCGGGGAGAGCCCCTGGGGAGAGAGGGTGAGAAACGGGGAATACGGGAAAAAATGGGGGGAATGGGGAAAAATGGGGGGAAATGGGGGAAAATGGGAGGAAAAAGGGGAAAAAATGGAGGGAAATGGGGGGAAATGGGAGGAAAAAGGGATAAAAATGGGGGGAAATGGGGAAAAATGGGGGAAAATGTGAGGTAAAAGGGGAAAAATGAGGGAAAATGGGGAAAAATGGGGAAAAAAGGGAGGAAAAAGGGAGGAAAATGGGAGGAAAAAGGGGAAAAATGGGGAAAATGGAGAAAAATGGGGGGAAATGGGAAAAAATGGGAGGAAAAAGGGGGAAAATGGGGGAAAATGGGGAAAATGGTGAAAAATGGGGAAAAAAGGGAGGAAAAAGGGGAAAAATGGGGAAAATGGGGGGAAATGGGGAAAATGGGGAGAAAATGGGAGGAAAAAGGGGGGAAATGGGGGAAATGGGGGAAAGAGGGAGGAAAAAGGGGGAAAATGGGGGAAAATGGGGAAAATGGGGGAAAATGGGGGAAAATGGGGAAAATGGGGGAAAATGGGGAAAATGGGAAAAAGGGGAGGAAAAAGGTGGAAAAATGGGGAAAAATGGGGAAAAAATGGGGGAAATGGGGAAAAAATGGGAAAAATGGGGGAAATGGGGAATATGGGAAAAAGGGGATGAAAAAGGTGGAAAAATGGGGAAAAAATGGGGGAAATGGGGAAAAAGGGAGGAAAAAGGGGAAAAAGGGGGAAAATGGGGAAAATGGGGAAAAATTGAAAAAAAAGGGAGAATAAAGGTGAGTAAATGGGGGAAAATGGGAAAAAAAGGGACAAAAAGGGACCAAAAGGGACCCCTCGGGTGGCCAGGCTGAGACCTTGCAGGGAAATGGGGTGAGAAATGGGGAAATTGGGCAAAAATGGAGAAAAGGGACAAAAAAAGGGACAAAAGGGGCACTCAGGTGGCTCAGGGACATCGGGCTGAGGGGACAGAAAGGGACAAAAAGGGAGAAAAGGGGGGAAAAAGGGACAAAAAGGGAGGAAAAGGGACAAAAGTGACAAAGATGCTGTCCCTAGGTGTCACCTGGGTGTGCCACAAATGGGGACAAAAGGGACAAAAAGGGGGGAAAAAGGGGGAAAAAAGGGACAAAAAATGGAGAAAAGGGGACAAAAAAAGGGACAAAAAGGGGGGAAAAAGGGGGAAAAAAGGGACAAAAAATGGAGAAAAGGGGACAAAAAAAGGGACAAAAAGGGGGAAAGTAGGGACAAAATAAGGACATAAAAGGAAGATAAAAGGGTCAAAAAGTGACAGAAGTGACAAAGGCGCTGTCCCTGGGTGTCACCTGGGTGTGGGCGGTGCAGACACAGAGACACAAATGGGGACAAAAGGGACAAAAAAGGGAGAAAAGGGGACAAAGAGGGACTGAAAGGGACAAAAAGGGACAAAAAGGGGGAAAATAGGGACAAAAGAAAAGGAGATGGAAGTGACACAAAGTGACAGAAGTGACCGAGGGCACTGTCCCCGGGTGTCACCTGGGTGTGGGCGGTGCAGGCGTAGCGCTTGAGGTGGCCGAAGTCGCAGGTGGTGTCCTCCAGGCAGAAGCTGGCCTTGTGTCCCTCGGCCACGCGGCGGCCCGAGGTGACATCCAGCAGGTCATAGTGACTGAACTCCGCCATGCTGTGGTAGTGCCTGGGGACACCGGGGGACACCAGGGGACACCGTGGGGACACCGGGAGACACCAGGGGACACCAGGGGACACCAGGGGACACCGTGGGGACACCAGGGGGACACCGTGGGGACACCGGGGACATTCTAGGGACACCATGAGGACAGGCTGGGGACACCACGGGGACAGGCTGGGGACACTCAGGGAGCTCTGGGGACACTCAGGTGACATCCAGCAGTAGTGCCTGGGAACATGGGGACACCAGGGGACAGTGGGGGCACCCAGGGGACATTCAGAGGACAATTGGGACAAGCAGCGGACAAGCAATGGGATAATCGGGGGACAGCAAGGGGACAGCAGGGGACAGTGAGGGCACCCAGGGGACATCCAGGGGAATTATCAGGGGACAGTCAGGGGACAATCAAGGGACAGTCTGGGGACACTCAGCGGGTGTCACAGTGGGGGTGTCCCCACCCTTTAGGGGGTGTGTGGGGAGGGGCACAGCAGGTGGCAGCTCCCGCCTTGGGGACAGTCACTGGGACAGAGGGGACATCAACTCCAGAGCACGGTGGCTTTGGGGACAAAGAGCCCAAGGAAGGTGGCACCAAGCCCAAAGCCACGTCACCGAGCGGGGAATGTCACTGAAATGCCTCAAAGGTGTCACCAGCTGGGTAAGGGGTGGGGACAGGGCTGGGGACGCTCCCTGGTGGCAGCGGTGCCACTGCCACCATCACGGTGGCTTTGGGGACAAAGAGCCCAAAGGAGGTGACACTGACCCCAACAAAACCCCCAAAAATGTCCCAAAATGGGGGAAATGCCATGGAAAAGCCTCAAAACTGTCACCAGAGGGGGGTTGGTGGCAAGGACAGGGCTGGGGACAGTGACAGCTGGCAGCTGTGCCACTGCCAGCAGCATGGATGGTGGCTCTGGGGACAAAGAGCCCAAGGAAGGTGACACCACACAGCAAGGCCCCAAAGCAAAGCCACCAAACGGGGAAATGCCACCAAAGTGCCACCAAAGCCCTTGGAGCTGCCACCAGGGGCTGGGTGGAGGCTGGGGACAGCTGGGGACACTCACTGGTGGCAGCTGTGCCACTGCCACCATCATGAATGGCGGCTTTGGGGATGAAGGAAGACAAAGAGATGAAGGAAGACCCCAAAAGGAAGCCACCAAATACAGAAACGCCACCAAAGTGCCACCAAAGCCCTTGGAGCTGCCAGCAGGGGGTGGGCCGAGGCTGGGGACATCTGGGGACACTCACTGGTGGCAGCTGTGCCACTGCCAGCGGTGGCGGGGCTGGCTGGGCAGGAAGTCGGCCGTGCCCTGGTTCTTGACGCGCTGCGGGAAGCGCAGCAGCACCCGCACGTCGTAGTCGGTGGCCTCGGCCGCGTACGCCGTGCTGGGGACAGGGACAGGGACACTGCTGGCACTGCCGCTGTCCCCTCCCTTCAGGAGGAATTCCCTTTTCCAGAGGGATTTTCCTCCCGTGGGAAAGGAAGGGATAAAGAGAGGAACCGGCCGGGCTTGGCTTGGCTGCTCCCAGCGCCTTTTCCTTTCCTTTTTTCCGCTTCCTGTTCAATTTTTCTGTTTCCCTTTCCCTTTCCCTTTCCCTTTCCCTTCCCTTCCATTCCCTTCATCTTTTTCCGCCCTTTTTCTCTTTTTCCCTTTCCTTTTCCCTCTCTCCTGTCCCTCCCTCTCCCCTTTTCCCCTTCCCTCCTCCTCCCTCTCCCCCATCAGCACCTCCCCCTTCTCCACCCCCTACCTGACCCTCTCTCCCTCCCTCCCGGGGTATCCCCACCTCCCCCTCATCCCAAGATCCATTTTATCCTCATTTTCCCCTCATCCCAATCCCCTCTCTGTCCCCATCTCCCCTCTCCCCGGCCGTGCCCTGGTTCTTGACGCGCTGCGGGAAGCGCAGCAGCACCCGCACGTCATAGTCGGTGGCCTCGGCCGCGTACGCCGTGCTGGGGACAGGGACAGGGACACTGATGGCGCTGCTGGCGCTGCCGCTGTCCCCTCCCTTCAGGAGGAATTCCCTTTTCCAGAGGGATTTTCCTCCCGTGGGAAAGGAAGGGATAAAGAGAGGAACCGGCCGGGCTTGGCTTGGCTGCTCCCAGCGCCTTTTCCTTTCCTTTTTTCCGCTTCCTGTTCAATTTTTCTGTTTCCCTTTCCCTTTCCCTTTCCCTTTCCCTTCCCTTCCATTCCCTTCATCTTTTTCCGCCCTTTTTCTCTTTTTCCCTTTCCTTTTCCCTCTCTCCTGTCCCTCCCTCTCCCCTTTTCCCCTTCCCTCCTCCTCCCTCTCCCCCATCAGCACCTCCCCCTTCTCCACCCCCTACCTGACCCTCTCTCCCTCCCTCCCGGGGTATCCCCACCTCCCCCTCATCCCAAGATCCATTTTATCCTCATTTTCCCCTCATCCCAATCCCCTCTCTGTCCCCATCTCCCCTCTCCCCATCTCCCCTCATCCCAGGACCCTCTCTCCCCTCACTTCACCTCATCTCCCCCCATCCCCTCCTTCCCAAAATTTCCCCATTTCCCCCTCACCCCAGTCATCCCTTCACCCCCCTCCCTCCCCGCTTTTCCCCCCACATCCCCCCGACCCCCGAGCACTCCCATTCCCAGGAATCCCCTCTCTCTCCCATTCCCGGATTCGCGTCTGACATTCCTGGGAACCCTCCCGCTCCCATTCCCGGGAATTCTCCCTCTCTCATTCCCCGGAATCCCCTCTCTCTCCCATTCCCGAGAATCCTCTCTCCCACTGGAATCTCTCTCCCATTGGAATCCTCTCTCCCATTGGAACCCCCTCCCTCTCCCATTCCCAGGAACCCTCTCTCCCCTTCCCAGGGATCTCACCTGGCCAGGCATTTCCTTCTCCTCATCCTGGACCCTTCCCATCCCAGGAATCCTCCCCCTCCCATTCCTCTCCCATTCCTGGGATCCCATCTCTCCCATTCCTGTGTCCCATTCCCGTATCCCATGTCCTGTATCCTGGATCCCGTGTCCCATTCCCATATCCCATGTCCCATTCCCGTATCCCATTTCCCGTTCCCCAATCCTGTGTCCTGTTCCCATATCCTCGTCCCATTCCTGGATCCCGTGTCCCATGTCCCATTACCCCTGTCCTGTGTCCCGTATCCTGTTCCCATGTCCCGTGTCCCATTCCTGTATCCCATGTCCCGTATTCTGTCTCTCCTGTATCCCGTACCCCATCTCTCCCGTCTCTCCCGTATCCCATGTCCTGAGTCCCGTCTCTCCCGTATCCTGGATCCCATCTCCCCCGTTCCCGTGTCCCATATCTGGTGTCCCATTCCTGTATCTCATGTCCTGTTCCCGTATCCTGTGTGCTGTATCCCGTATCCATGTCCTGTATCCCGTATCTCCTGTGTCCCATGTCCCATATCCTGTTTCTGGATCCTGTGTCCCGTTCCTGTATCCCATGTCCCGTATCCATGTCCCGTATCCCGTATCCCATATTCTGTCTCTCCCATGTCCCATATCCCATCTCCCCATGTTCCCTTCCCATGTCCCGTCTCTCCCATGTCCCGTATCTTGTGTCCCGTATCCCGTGTCCCATATCCCATCTCCCCATGTTCCCTTCCCATGTCCCGTCTCTCCCATGTCCCGTATCTTGTGTCCTATATCCCATGTCCCATATCCCATCTCCCCCATGTCCCATGTCCCGTATCCTGTGTCTCATATCCCCTATCCCGTCTCTCCCATGTCCCGTGTCCCGTGTCCCGTGTCCCGCGGTGTCCCACCTGGCCAGGCAGCGCTCCTCGGCGGCGCAGCGCAGCGAGTACAGGTGCGCTCTCTGCACGTACGTGGAGGCCTGCACGTAGTTGGGGTCCGGCACCAGGTCCGGGAGACCTGCCAGGAAACGGGACTGGGATTGGGGAAATCCGGGACTGGGAACAGGGACTGGGGAAATCCAGGATCAGGTCAGGGAGACCCGCTGGGAAATCGGGAAATAGGATTGGGGAAATCGGGGATCAGATCTGGGAGACCTGCTGGGAAATGGGATCGGGATTGGGGAAATCCAGGATCAGATCTGGGAGACCTGCCGGGAAACGGGATGGGGATTGGGGAAATCAGGGATTGGGGAAATCCAGGATCAGGAGACCTGCTGGGAAATGGGATCAGGGAAATTCAGGATCAGATCCAGGAGACCTGCAGGGAAACAGGATCAGTATTGGGGAAATCTGGGATTGGGTCAGGGAGACCTGCTGGGAAATGGGATCAGGGATTGGGGAAATCCAGGACCAGATCCAGGAGACCTGCCAGGAAATGGGAATGGGCACTCGGGAAATCTGGAATCAGATCCAGGAGACCTGTCAGGAAATGGGAACGAGAACAAGGACTGGGGACATTCCCTGGGGACACAGCTGCTGGAGACCCTGACATTTGGGATCCAGGATCAGATCCAGGACACCTGCTGGGAAATTCAGAACAGGGATTGGGGACGGGGTCTGGGGACATCCAGGATCAGATCTGGGAAAACGAGGACATCATTGGGAACAGGGATTTGGAACAGGGACTGGGGAAATCTGGGATCAGCTCTGGGAGACCTGCTGGGAAATCGGGAGCAGGGATTGAGCACAGGGATTTGGGACAGGGACTGGGGACACAGCTCCTGGAGGCCTGGGTATTTGGGATCTGGGATCAGATCTGGGAGACTGGGAAAATGGGAACATCACTGCAGACAGGGACTGGGGACATCTGGGATCCAGGAGGCCTGGATACATGCAGGATCTGGGAATGACCATGGGGACACCCCTGGAGACAGGGACATCCATGGGGACAGGGACTGGGACCACGGCTCCTCCTCCCAGCAGCCCAACGGGGACATTTCGGATCCTCAGCCCCGCCAGGTTTCCCCAATTTCCAGCTGGAAAATCCTCCCTTCCCTCCTCTCCTCACTGTGGCCCCCCTTACACATCCCAATGCTGCACTTCCCGCCTGCCCGGGGGATCGGGATGGGGATCGGGATCAGGATTGGGATTGGGATTGGGATCAGGATCGGGATCGGGATCAGGATCAGAATCGGGATCAGGATTGAGATTGGGATTGGGATCGGGATCAGGATCGGGATCAGGATTGGGATCGGGATCGGGATCAGGATCGGGATCAGGACTGGGATCGGGATCAGGATCGGGATCAGGATTGGGATCGGGATCAGGATCAGGATTGGGATCAGGATGAGGACTGGGATCACGATTGGGATTGGGATGGGGATCAGAATTTTGGGATCAGCATCAGGATGGGGATCGCTCCAGCCTCTCCCTGGAAGCCATTCCCTGTCCCAGCCCCGGGATGGGACCCTGGGACAATGCCTGGAAGAGCAGCATCCCGATTCCCTGCCCTATTCCCTGGTTTTCACCCCAAAACAGGGAGAAAGCAGGGTTATCCCTGCCTTTATCCCTCTTTTCCTTGAATTCCAGACAATTCCAGAGCTAGGATGAACAGAGGGATGCAGGGACAGATGGGGCTGCCTCGGTTTCCCAAATTTATGGAGCCCAGCTGGAGCTGGAATTCCGACCCCTTCCAACCCTCCCATTCCCTTCCAGCACCTGGAATTGTCCTGGAATCAGCCCATTGGGAAGGATTGGGATGGGGGATGCTCCTCAGGCGCTCTGTGCCTCAGTTTCCCTTCTCCATGTCCCATTTCCATCCCCATCCTTATCCCTCTCCTGTTTTCCCTCATTTTCCCCTCTTTCCCCCCATTTCCCTCTTTTCTCGTTTTCCCTTTTTCCCCTGTTTTCCTATTTTCTCCCATTTTTCCCCTTTTTTCCCAGTTTTTCCCCAATTTTCCCTCATGTTCCCCATCTTTCCCCTTTTTCTTTCCATTTCCCCCCATTTTCCCCCTGGTTTTTCCCAGTTTCCCCCCATTTTTCTTTCCTAGTTTTCCCCCATTTTCCCCCTGCTTTTCCCCATTTTCCCCCCATTCCCCCCCTTTTTTCCCCCATTTTCCCCATT